CAGCAGATTCTGTACATGGCAATGTTTCGCTATAAAAAGGACACAGCAATAAAGTATTCCCGGACTCTTAATGAACATTTCAAGGTAGAGAGTGAAAAGTTTTGATTGGGGGGGGGGCGGGGAAGGGTAGTTCCAACAATATTCTGTCAGTGGGTGAATGGTTTTCCTGAGTGAATAGTTAACATGTGAACAGCGTAACATGGGAGCTGCAAAAATCAGAGTTTCCCTTCTTTGAAAGGAATAATAGCATGAGTTGATATGACCTGTGATCTAAATAGAATTCCCATTGCTTATTACAGAGTTCTTCTAGAATTGCCCAAGCACCTTCTCCATGTGTTGCAAGGTAACGTCACAAATTTACTCCCGTTATAAAAATTAAAAACTGATTTTCTTTTCTGGTTAATTGTAAGATTTATGTATAGGCGACATGTAGGCCAAAGTAGGAATCGGTTTGAAACCAGTTTGATGATCTCTCTCAGAATATAAATCGTTGCTATTGTAGCTTCCCAGGCTTTTGATCTGATACCCTTTTGCTATGGAATAAGTCCTGAGCTAAAGGAGAGTTAAGTTCTGAGTAGACATGTATAGAATTGCCCAGGCATTCTGCTCATGGGAAACTCTTTCTCACCATCAAGAATGGGTAGATTTGGACTGAGGAGATCTGAGTTCAAATCCTCCCTCGGTTATAAAATTCAGGGGATCCAGAGTTTAGAGCAAGTTCCATTGCTTGTTTGCTCTCTTTCTTACTCTCAGGCTAGTTTACGATGCATGTTTTTATCTTTGCTGTCCTGAGCAGAACAGAATACATTAACATTTCTCCAAAAGCAGAATATGCCACACTTGCTAAATGTCAAGGTGCTCATCATAAACTTTGGAAATCAATAGAATTCATGCTGACTTTGGGAACATGAGTTGAAATCTAACAGATTGAAAGAGCACCAGGTTGGGAAAAATTGATCAAAATAGCTGTCACATCTATAGGACTTGAACAAGTCCTGGTGATTGAAAAGGCTGTTGAGGTGTGGAATGCACGTGTTCAAAGTTCAGTATTTTCCTCCAGAATCTCCCGCTCCATTTCCCCTCCCTCCTTGATGATCACCAACACTTAGCATGTTTTGGTCACCAAGCATGCTCAGTCTTCATTTAACCAGTTGTTGAGGGATTTTACATGTTAGAAATCCTTTTAGATACAGGTGGTCCCCGGGTTAAGAATGTCTGGGTTACAGACAACCTATAGTTAAGAACAAAGCCTATTGTAGCAAAATTCAAGTTAAATACATAATGGTTCAAGTTAAATTCACAATGGTTTGAGTTCATTACATAATACTGCCTATACAGTATTATACAATAATACTGTTCCGACTTATGTACAAATATGAGTTACGGAGAGACTTTGGGAACAAGACTCGTTCTTAAACTGGGGACTTCCTGTATTTTTCCCTTAAATATGTTCATGCCTCCTCCTCAGGCCTTTTTCCCTCTTAAAATGTCTGATCCTACTTTGTGTATTTATTGAATATAATGATATGGCCTGTTGTGTTTCATCCTTCAGGAGCACAGGCACACCTTCTCCTCTTTCCCCAATGCCCTCTCCAGCTGGCTCGGTCAGCTCCCAGACGGGTTCCAGCACCAGCAGCTGTGGAAGCAGTGGCCTCGGCTCTTCAGTCAGCGTCCCTCATTATATCCCGACCATCACCTCTTCCTTTGTCAACATCACTTCTTATATTCTGTACGCCTATGACTTCTGGGAACAAGCTGATCTTCTGGCTAGGAAGAATAAGAGTAAGGACTTGTTTCTAACTGACTTGCAGATTCAATTTCCTAAAGCTCTTGAGGACAATTCTGTGCATTGTTTAGCAAGTTAATTTTGGAGGGTCCAAAGGTTAGCAGCATCTCTAAATGGTTCTTGACTTTCATTGCATCCTCAGGAACCACTCTTAGTCAGCTTAAAACAAGTATGAAGTTAATTGGTTCACATAAGATAGAAACTGATGTTCATCAGATCAGTACAAATTTTTGATTTGAATTGTGTCAGCAATCCCCTGACCATGGTATTGCTGACGCAAAACAATGCTTGGGTTATTACATTGTTTATATTATATTATATTATATTATATTATATTATATTATATTATATTATATAATGTATTACAGTACATTGTTGTACTGATAGTGTATAGCCTGAAATATGTGGATAACCCTAATTCTTGGATGGAAAATTATTGAATGAATAATAAAGTGGTTGCTTATAGGGTTATGAGAATAGTTCCTTAAAGTAACCCATGTTGGTAGCCAGGAACATACTTTGAAGAAAATAAGAACTTAAAAAATTATTTAAGAAAAAAAAACCTTGAATATTGGGAGATAGCTGAGAATTAAGTTAAATCAAGAGCTGTTTTCATGGTTAAGCATTCTACTGAAGTTTTCCATGTTGATAGAATGAATGGTAGGGTACAAATCTGTAACAAAAGTGGTTCAGGCATGATGTGAGAACACATAATGCAAGAAACTTGTTGAAATTAAGTAACTCTTGGTTCTCTTAGAGCCAAGTGACTGGGAAATCACTTGGAAATACCATATACATGTCACCTAGATTCCAGAGTGAAGGAAAAAAGTAGGATAAAAAGGAACATTATACATGTAAATGCATATTTTCTATGGTGTTCACATGGTCCAGTATCTGTAGTACCCATATAGAAGTTTTTGAGTACAAAATTGTCCCTTCTTATTTGGGCAGAAATGCCATTGTGTCTAATGTTCTAGTAATACACCCCTATTTGCTTATTTTCAAACCATTCTTGGATTGATAAACTACTAAATTAGGAAAGCAAATACAATGGAGTATAATAATATGATAAAAATTGGCCCTGTTAAGAAACAAGGAAATATATGCATGCAAGACTCTTCTCCCAGTTTAAGTGGTCCACCAAATACCTTCTAGGAAGCACACAGGAGGATAGTAACAGCTTTGCCTGTGTTCCTCATTCTGCTTTTGATAAAAGCCACCCATTACCATGTCATTAGTTTCTCAGTAGCCATTCACAGTATCAAAAGAATGATATTCCCCAAATGTGGCTGCCACATAATGTTTAATGGGAAATTATTAAATACATGACAGCACTCATTAAGTGCATTTAATAATTTAGTTTTTCATTACATAAAAATTAGCCAAATTTCCTGCTTGGCCTGGAAAAAATGTGCATCCAATGACATAAGTTCATGAGCACTTTACATATTGCAGAAACACGTGCTATTAGCAAAACTGCAGATTAATTTAAATGACATAATGGGTAATAATAGAAGCCAATTTAAGTAATGACTGGATAAACCCAATTTTCCCTTTAGGTATTGCCTGTTTCTGGTGCCAGATTTCCTAATTCTGAAGCCCTTTCAAAGACGCCCCAAAGGATTCATGTCCTCAAAGAGAGAATGATTCAGGACAGTCAACTTCATAGCCTGTCTCTCCAGGAGAAGCCACATAGCCTGACAAAATTGAATTCTGTCCCCAGCAGACCTAGTGGCTTTGCACATACAAATAAATTGGGGATTCTCTACAGGTTTAAGAGCGGACGCTTCTGGGTAAGCATGTTTAATTGAGGAATCCAACATGATGCTTTTCCTTTTTCGTTTCTCTTTCAGAATTTTTTTCCAAGCTCAGCACTGCTGCCTGCTTTCTCTCGTTGAACAGCAGTATGATCGAACTCGTACACTACACCCGCCAGGGACTGCAGTGGCTGAGACTGGAATCAAACATGCCTTAATGGGTGATTCAAGATGAGGATTTTGCCTTGGACTCTTTTGCACTTTGAAAGCCTCAGAAATAGCCTTGTGGGCTGACTGGTTGGATTTAAAAAGAAACAACAACAACAAAAAAGCACCTGGAACAAGTTTGAATGAAGCACGATCGAAGGGATCTGGCACCACTGGAAAACTTTTAGGGACTACATTTCTACTATGCCAATGGGCCACTTGGAAGATAAAGAGTGAAGAAGAGGCCTCAAAGTGGAAGATGCCTTTCTTTCAAAGGACAAAGTGCAATTGTCTCCTTTCTCTACCCCTGCCCCTTTTTCCCCCATCATGGTTTCTTTGTGTCAATGGTCTATAAACATTTCTAGTAATGAATAACCAGCAAGATAATCAATCAGTCAGCACACATGAAGATGCGCCAGTGAGAAGGAAATCCATTTCCCAAAGGATTTTCTGCAACATCTAAGGATGCATCAATAGCCAGGGGCCCAGTGTTGGATTCAGATTTTTCTTTTCTTTTTTTTAAAGTATAAATCGCACGTGCATCTCCTTCCGGCAGGTGGCAGGGCCCGGGGAATCAGGGAGGGAATTCTTCAGCCATAAATTGAACTTTCTGTCAAAACAAAAAGCCGTCTTCCTGCCAGTCTCCTCCTCCGTGTGCTACTAGCGCCCATTTGTTGCACTATTTCTTCTGTCCTTCTGGCCCGTAGCGGGCTTATCCCACTTTCCCTAGTTTGCCCCTCTCTCTCCTTTTCCCATTCCCTGTTTGTGTTTGTGTTTTTGTCTTGCTGTTTGTGGCAGCACGTAGCAGTTTCAGCTGTCCTGGGTGGTCGTTTCATGATATTGCAGTTGGCACGTTGACAATCTCATGAGAACAGCAGCTTGCTAGGCCTGCGATGTCAGAATCGAGTTTGAACAGAAGACACACGGTGTAGGCGATGTTGACTCCCTCGCCTCTGGGCTGTCTAAATTAGGGATATGATTCTAGTTCATCCATGGAGTAGCTGTGATAAAATGCACTACTGAAGAGGAATGGGTTGCCACTGCTGATGGTAAAGATGCTGCGCCTTTGGATCTTAGTAGCTCCACACAAGGGACACAGAGCAGTTGCAAGGAAGGGAGAGTGCTCTCCAAGAATTCCCTTCTAGTTACATGAAGTTTATTGGGAGATATTTAAGGATCTGTGGGAGGGGGCAACTTTGCAGTGTGCCATTTCAGTTCACCTTCCCTAAAATGGTAGGTTCAGATAGTGCCTTGGTTGATGCACAGATTTTCATTAACGCTGGCAGGGGGGCTGCCCGGCTCAGTTTAACATGATCCCTTTCGATATGTTGTCGAAGGCTTTCACGGCCGGCATACGATGGCTGGTGTGGGTCTTCCGGGCCGTGTGGCCGTCTTCCAGAACACGGCCACCCAGCCCAGAAGACCCACACCAGCCATGATCCCTTTCGTTTAAGAGAATTGTTTCCTCACTAGTAAGATAGTTAGCTCCATCAACTTGGAAAACCCTGGATCCTCCAATGCAAGTAAGCAGCAGTTATCTCCAGTCCGCAAACACCTTTCTGCTTCTTTCATTAATTTACAAAAATCCCCATTAATGAGAGTGCTGTATTTGTTTCCTATATCCTGTTTAGCGGAAGAAACAAAAGTGGTCTGTTTAGTTTAAAATATATTGTACTCCCCTCTTTTCAGCCATGCCTTTAATTCTCCCATTTGCATCTGTTATCGCTTGATTTAAGACAGACCAGTGGGGGAATATTTTCCAGATAAATTACTCTTTAGTGTGGTTATGGGTTTTCCTTTTTGGCTGATTCCCAGGGTCGAAAAGTTGGAATCAGGCATTTCTGAACCTTTGCTTTAAATACAGACAGCTATTTTTGTGGAGTTGAAGTAGAGCATTCCTATTTTCCCATAGAATGATTTCCTTGCCAACGATAGTAATAAATCTTATGATTCCACATTTTGAAGAGATACCCATTGTACAGAATCTTCCTGATTCTTTCAGGGCAGATTTGGTTTGGTGATAATTCAGCCCCCACAGAAAAAGAGCACGGAAGCGTAAGGAACAGAAAAGCCTTGGAGAATTTCCAGAAATAACCCACTTCTATTTATAAAAGATTTTGTTTTGTTTTGTTTTCCCTCAAACTGTTTAAATACAAGTTACTATTTAATCTTGAAGAAGATAAGGTGGAGATCTTGGAACCCTACTGAATTGGTGCAAAACACACATACAGACACATACCCAAGGAACTTGTTTGAACTGATGGGCAGTAGAAGGACTGCTTAATCTTTTGTCATACCTTGCCTGCATCTAAAACTGCAGTTGGAGAAAGGATGATGAAAAGCAAGAGACACTCTTTGTGATCCTGATTGCTCTTGGGCAGAGAACAGACTCTGCAGACTCCAGGCAGCTCTCAAATGCTTAGCTTCATCCCTATGCAGCAGGCAACCTCAACAGCCTCTTGGGGCCCTAGTACCCTACCCCTAAACTGCTGAAACCTCATGAATATCAATGAGATGTTGCTTGAGATCACTGAGATCTCAGCTGAGAATTCCAAAACTCTGTCAGATTTTGGGGAATTCTGGGGCACCTCCTGGTAAACGTTTTGGTATCCACGAGCACTATACTGCTGATCTCTGTTATGCAGGGATATACAGGTTCCAATCAGAAATACATTTTTTAACTCACAAAATTCATGCAACAATATCTCAGGAACGGAGGAAGTCCATCAAAATGTTAGGTTTTAAATGCAACTGGATTGGTACCTGCTCGTCCTAGATAAGGATTTGGTCCAAGTATGGGACAGTGGGCTGGTTGCACCCACCTGTCTTATCACACTAACCAGACATGAAAACTCTGAGCTCTTGGGCCTGGGTGAGAAACAGGCAAACCCTAAATTTGCTTTGTCTCCCTATTGCAGATGACAAACCTCCCTTTTCCCCTCAGTCTTTGTAGTCTCAGGACCGAGTTTCTTCTCTCTCCCTCCCTCCTCCTCTCCTGAATAACTCCTGATCCTTTGCTGCTGCTTTTGCTTTATTAACTATACTCTGATATAAAGAATCCTCAGTTGTTAAGGGGCCCCACTTCAGCCCACTTATTGAGCACTTTATTCAAAAGATTGTGATAATCTGTTCCATACCCCCTCCCACTTACTCATTCAATCCCAGAATCTCCCAGAGATTCAGTGACTAATCTCTGTGTTAAAAAGAAACGAAGCCTGCAGTGCGTTAATGCTACTGATTTTATGTGACTGCTCATAAAATGATAGGAAAAAAAAAGCAATAGAGGTTTCATTTCATTAAAAAAAAAAGTTAAAATCTGATTTGATTTGGGAAAGGCTGTATAAAACCTCTTTCACAACTGAACAGGAGTGAAGCTTCTCAGTTTTCCAGAGAAGTGAAGATGATTCTCCAGTTTGAACAGCCTACTCTTTCGTGTTCTGTGATTTGTCTTTTTCTTTCTTTCCTTTTTAATTTTACATGAAATTGCAGAGAAACAGTCCATTCATGAGGATCAGGTTTAGAAACCTTATGTTTTCTTCCAAATTTTTTTTAACAGAGCAATTAATGATCAGAATCCATTTAATCCCTATTCTAGGCTCTGGTTCCCAGCTATACATGGGCATTCCATGGATTTCAGCCAGAGCCAGGGTTCCAGTTCTCTATCCAAGGAGCAAGAAATAAATGTTTTTCCATTTTAAACACAAGTCTGTGGAGCTGCACACTCAAAGCAGCTTCCTTTCCAGATATTTATTTAGAATTATAATTAATGTATTTAAAATTGACAATGTTCTATATATCTAAGATAACCATAATTTAATAATTTGCAAGTTCCATTGACACTGGAGATGTGGACTGAACATTAGATTGATGACAATTTTATTTTTAAAGGGCAATTTCTCTTCCTATCTATCCTTCTCTTTTCCACTCTGTTCCCATGGTTTCTTTATTAAAATCTGTACATTTAAATTTATTATGGGATGTTGTGTCTCCATCTTGTAAATATTTCTGCCCTGTATATTGGTGGTATTTCCAGATTGATTTGTTTAATTCTGTGGGGTAATAAAATAAATATTAAATGAAGCAGCATCTTTTGTGACAGTTGCTCTGAAAAGTCTTTTAATCATTAACAATGGTAGTTCCCATGATGGTCTCTAAAACTAAATGGATCAATATAGCATTATATTGACAGAACAGGACATTTTTGGATAGAACAGAATTTAGGCATACCAACTTTGAAACAGAAGAAAAATCTGTTTCCTATCAAAATCTCCATCTCTTCTTGTAATTCCAATAATACAGAGCAGGATTGGCCCCATAGCAACAATTTAAGGCACAACATTCTTGAGTAACTATCAGAGCCCCTGGGAGCCCCATTGGCAGTAAGCCCTGGCTTGTGTTCTCATCGGGTATCAGGCACCTGCAAACCATGTTAAATTTGCTCTGGATTACCTGGGCTCTGGCCTTGTGGGAAATTGTATGTAGAGAAATGGCTGCCTTGTACTGATAAGAAGGATGCTTGGAAGTTGAGGGAAGCACATAGACACCAACACCTTCTCATTCAGTTTTCTTGCAAAGCACAAGACTCCTTTATTGGACAAAGGTATGAAAATATGGGATTTGTAGTATATAGGTTTTGGTGGTCCCGTGTCAAGTGTTAGTGTCTTGGCTTTGTACACTAAGAAATTTAAACTGGAGAAGGATTCACTGTTGATGGATGCTAAGAATATGGACTTTGGCTCATATTCTCTCAGGTAAATGAAAACAACTCTTACGCTGT